AGGAGGATAAGCACCCGGAGGATAGCCAGCCGGGGGGTAGCCATGTCCTGGGGGATATCCTTGGGGTGGATAGCCATGAGATGGAGGATAACCTCCAGGGGGAGGATAACCTCCGGGTGGGGGATACCCTCCAGGTGGGGGATATCCTCCAGGATGAGGATATCCACCTCCATGAGCAACACCATGAGCCAGATGCGAGAATAAACCTTTATCAGATTCGTCATGTTTATCTTTTCCACCCCCCATGGCTTATCAGCTTTATAATTACAACTGTGAAATTCACAAACAGTCATATTTATCATAACTTGTTACGGATATGAAGAAATTTAATATCAAATAGAAATGGGAAAAAAATTGAATATTCGAAACAATGCAACTTCTCTAGTAACAAACCATACAGTTCTAAGCCCCGTTGTAAATAATAAGATCACGTCCTTGCAGAACTAGTAGATAGCGACAATCTTTCCCAAGCAGAGCAAAAAAATAAAAGAAAAAGAAAAAACGTAAGGCAAAATCTTGCATTCTAACCTTTTAATATGAAAATTAAATAGGACAAATTAGAGAAAATCTTAACATCTTAATTAAATCATTCAATTTTTTAATCTAAGATGAACTTTCCCCCTCCTTTCCTTTCTGCATCCTACCTAATCTACCGCCTTCTAAACAGATATAGTATCCAGCTTTCCGTAAGAGAGAGGAAGACAGAGCATGATACAACAATTCTTCGCAAGAGACCAAGACTCAAACGCATTCGCAACGGATCACAGATCGAGAACAAGAAATAGATCACCAATTGTAAATTCGCGGTCTAACCTAAACAAATATTCCAAAACAAAGACAAACGCATTTAATATCAACATTTAGACTTCCAATCCAAACATCACCGCTCCAGGTGGAGTTTCCAAGGATAGGACAACAAAATTCAATTCATAACAATGATTACAAATGAATTTCTTCATTAAAAATCCATTCCAGCTTATTTCAATCAAAAGATTCTCCTAAAACCACAAATTCCAGTTCCGCAACAAATAAGGAATTCAAAAGCAAAGCAAGCATCTGCTACAGATACATATTGAGAATACACGGATCAAAACAAACCTCTAAGCAAAGAAAACTCGTAAGCAAAAGAGAGTGAAAGAGAGAGAGGATTTACCGATGAAATGGATTATTTGGTTCTTCTGATGGTGAGAGAGAGAGACAGAAAGAGAGAGAGGAGGAGATTTGAACTCTTGAAGAATTGGTTATATATATAGAGAGAGAGAGAGAAGAAGGGGAAGCGATTAAAATATATATTTTATTTTGATTTTCTAATTTTTAATTGTTCCTTTTCTCGCGCGAATGTAATAAAAATAAAACTCTACGCGGTCTCGACGCGTTCGAATGTTCAACTAGCGTTCCTTGCGACACGTGGCGCCCATATATTCGTTCAATCCACATAGCTTTCTCCTTCCAAGATATTTGGTTTTTATAATTTAAATATCTAAAGAATTAATTTAAATCATGACCAAAAATAATATTAATTTTTTATATTATAATCCCTCAAAATTTACCTGGGCCAAGTTTTAAAAGTATTGTATTAATTTTTTTTTGGTTTAATTTAACTTAGACAAATTAATATATATAATATAACCGAATTTTTTAGAATTAGAAGTATGAATGGTGAAGATTTAAGTTATGACTAAAAAAAAAAGACATGAATTTCTTAATACCTAAGATAAGACCGAACCATCTGACTATTTCATTTCCGAGGGGAGCTGTTTGGTGCAAGGAATTTGGGGTAGGAGTGGATGAATACTTGTGATACCCGTGTTTAGTACAAGGTTTGGTGCAAATTTTCTCCCGACATCATTTATACTCCATAGACAAGATATTCAACACCCTTAGATTTTGTTCTAATTTTGATATTTGAAGTCAAAAGCAATTGATTTCAACCCAAGTAAACAAACAAAAATAGAATTCAGATTATCTCACACTTTAACTAGTCCATAAACTTTTCATATTTTAAAATTCAGGCACACAATTGAAATTTTAGAATTCCATTAAACATACCCATTATTTTTTTTTTTAATTTTAAATTTTTCATGAACCTAAATCTCAAAATTTAAAGACTAAACTTGTAATTTAACCTATTTTAACTATATAATCGAATTAGATAACCGTTTAAAAGTGGAAATTCAAGAAGTTGTAGAGGCCTAAGTAGATCGGAAAATTAAGGAAATAAAGAAAAGGAAAAAGTATATTACTAGAACAAATTTATTTTCAAATAATGAAGAAAAATCCACCACTCCATTGGATCGAATCAACTTGAAAAGGCCATCGAGAATCTGACCAAATATAACCATGAAGCCATAGAATTTTCAAAAAGAAAAAGAAAAGAGGACATAAAGATTAAATATCCCAAGAGATGCCGCCATGGAAGAATGACATTATATTCGCTGCAACTACAAGCTAAGTTATAAGTTGGATATGAGTAAAACAATCGATAACAATCGATCAAAACAGGACTGGGATGATTGCTGTGAAGCTGGATATGAGTAAGGATTATGATAGATTGGAATAGAATTCCGACTTAGTTGTAATATGTATTAAATCGGTGACTTCTTTGAACAAACCAATGGTAACAAAAGACAAGGAGACCCATTGGCTCCTTACCTCTGTGCTTAACCTGTATGGAGGGTCTACCAACATTTGTATATGAAGAGAGGTGAGCCTCAAACTTCACAAGTTTTCGAATTAATCATCGTTTCCATTCTATTTTCACGTCTTTTTTACACATGACAACTTAGTCTTCGGCCGAGCCAAACCTCTGGTCAATTAATCAACTTTGATGAATCATGTTTATAGTTAGCATGAGCATGCTGTCCCACATATAAAATGAATACAAGAGAGTTGAGTGTTCGCCATTAGGCTAGTACCTAAGGCTCCCATCCCTAATTCTATTGAGGAGAGTTTGGAGCGTGCTACAAGGGTGAAAAGACAAATTTTTCTCAAAGGAGGTAGAATGAGTCCGACTTGTGCGGAATAAGTGAGTCGGATAGGCACAACGGCGCCACCTCCTGCGGGACCACGCCCAGTGGCACCTCCAGTTGGACCAGACCAAGCAACAACCACTCTGATGTGGAAGGTGGCCAACAATTCAATGATGATGGAGAGGCGAGGTACTTGCAAGATTTTAGGAGATATGATCCCCGGGTCTTTAACTGGGCCTCTAAGGACCCGATAGTGGCAAAATGGAGGCTATCATTAATAGGGACAATCTTTCGCCTAACGACCCGAAGGTGTTGTGTGCATCGTTCATGTTGCAGAACAATGCACAAATATAGTGGTAATCCACTCAGGAGGTCCTTAGCCTCGATGGAGGTGCAATTTCAAAAACTTTGGAGGAATTCATGGAAACTCAAGACTGACGCTACATTGGAGGAATGATTGCAACAAAAGGGGTTTGGATGGATTTTACGAGACCATATGGGTCCAGTTCGAGTGGTCAAACTAAAGCACCTAAAACAAGGAGTGACATAAAGAAAGGTTCTTGAATGCCTCAAGACATTTCCAACTCATCTGATTAGAAAGGTTTGGTGGAACCGAACAGATTTTACACCCATGGACCTACCAATTGATGTCCATGATCCAATCAACCAATAGTTGATTAGAGCCCGAATGACATTCAAGTGCTTACAAAAGTAATTAAACTGAATGCCAAAAGTAAAAATTGATGAACAATGCAGAATAAAAACAATTAATATAAATAATAAGATAGCCATCCTTTCTAAGAAAGGATGACCAACATATTCATTTGAACTGAAAAATACCTATGCATTACACTCGTGAGAAACTTTTAATCTACAAATCTACTCTTAAGGGCTAGGGGATGCGTTGGTGGGCCCACAAATTTAAGGACTTTTCAACTTTAGGTTAAGAAGTTGTTCATAACTTAATTTGATAGGTAAGTTGGCTTATCCTATGATATAAGTTTGTTCATCCCACAATATAACTTCAAGCTTATAAATTTATCTTGTGTATCAACTAACCTCTACAGTTTTTTTTTTTTTTTTTCCTTTTTCTTTTAGTAAGACACAAATAGGTATATTCCATGAAAAGGAAGAGAATAATCTCCTTAGATATGAACGAATAAAGAAATAGATTTTTTCTGTAACGGCTCAAATCCACTACTAACAAATATTGTCCTTTCCCTTTTGGGCTTCCCCTCAAAGTTTTTTAAACGCATTTGCTAGGGAGAAGTTTCCACACCCTTATAAAGAATGTTTGGTTCCTCTCCCAACAGGCATGGGAGCTCACATTTTCATTTGTTGCAATTCCTATAAAGCAAATGATCGAAAATTTCCACCTAAAGGGAAGTTTACATAATTAAAAGGTAGTTTTTTCACTTTGTAGCTCAAGCTCGAGGACTGATGTTCAACTTCTTGGTTGTTGATGTCTAAGACTATGAGGACAGTTTATAGCAGTTTTCACCTTATTCAAAGTGATCCCCAAACCAAGAAGACGCAGATTTAGGATGCGTCGCCAATATTTAAGAATTCCCATCTACATTGTCACAAGAGACGAGGCACTTGTACATCGCAAGTGGCAGACTCTACCGGCTGGTTTCCAACCAAGAAGCCCCTCAAAACTCTTTCCAAATTAGAAACATGAACCAAACACGTTACACAAATCCAAGTTACTATAACCTATTCCTTTATACAACCCAAACATAATCTACATTTTTTAACACTAGACTTATTAAAATCCTAAGCCAAACATCGCCAAGAGTGTAAAAAAGAAAGAATATACAATTTAAAAGTAGAGGGCATAGAACAGTGGGACCATAGCAACATAATGAAACATGGGGTATCGATTCTCTGCTGCAGTATCTAGGGTTAAATTTAGACCGCCCAGTCTTAATGGGTGCTTCTTTTCACTTCTTTTTATTTTTTTATTTTTAAAAAGATGCATTAAATATCAACCTAGATTGTCCAATTAAAAAGAAAAATAAGTAAATGGCCTACAAGAAACCAGAGAGAATCCAGATAGATTATGCACTCAAGGCTATAAATTTCAGGTCAGATCAGCAGATGCTATAAAGTAAAGGGAAGATAATCTATTCTTCCAGATTCAGCAAAGTATGCTTAATTTTCAGGTCAGAACAACCTACTAACGCACTTGAAATAAAGATGTCAAGAAGAACGAAAAGCAAAACATGGAAGTATCAGAAAGACACTTCATTAAATGTCTTTCATAGATGAATTAGTTAAATGGGGCTCACCGGAAAGGCTGCAAGTTTCACTCCAACAAAACCACTGAGCATCTTCGAACTCCATTCATCAACTCAAAAAGTACACTTCTGCAGCACTGACAGTGATATTGAACAGACAAATGCAAGATCAAGATATGAAAAGCACGAGGTTTTTGAAGAGAAATGGAAGAGGAAAAAGATGTTACCAAAATGGCAAGAGCCTATCCACTTTGCCCTCGTCTGCTGTCATGCCTAACATGTAGGGAAAAGAAAAAAGAAAATGATGTAAATACAGGACAAAGTTTAGCATGTTATTACCTGAAGAAGACATAGTTTAGGAAAGAAAAAGAGCAACGATTTCATGTGTGGTTTTAACAAAAAAAGATGAAGAAAAAACAATGTAAATCCCTGATGACCTGATATCCTTTTGACGTTCCATTTCCATATTTCTTAGACTTGGATCATTGAATTGGGGAGAGAGAATTTTGTTAACCTCTGCCATCCCAACTCTGTCTTTACCGTGTAATATGGCTTTAAAGTTTTCTTCCCAGATCCGGTCCTTTCCAATCCCAGGGCTCTGCATATCAAATAACTCTCAACACATCTCTACTATTCCATCCCAAAAAGAAATACACGAGCAAGCAAATATATCTACCTTTTAGTGAACAAAACAAATCTAAAATAAATGTGAGGCTAAACAAAGTTGATCAAGAATAGAAGTTCAATCGAGATAATCCTATTTTAAGGATGAAATCTAAAATTTTTCACACAAAAACTAAAGGGAATAATGAGTAATAATTTCAGTATTTGAGGAGTATATCCTAAGAAGCACGAACACTTTAGTATGGCTAGCGTATCCATGTCTGACATGTGTCGAACACTTGACACTGCAACACTTGTTAGACACGTACCAAACACTTGTTAGTGCAATAGATGTAGTAGACACTAGTCATACAAAGTCAAAGTAGATCCAATCTTTGTTAAACATGCATCAAACACTTAAAGTAAAATAAATCAAACTAATTTTTAAGCATTTAGATGTATAAACTAATTGACTTTGAATTCCCTTCTAATACAAAAATGATATATAACTGTTAGAGTGTATATTTTAATAAACGTGCCCTTGTCGTGTCAATGTCATGCTGTATCCGTGCTTCCTAGAGTTTGCCAATAGTTCACAGCAACATTTGTCTGATTGTCGGATTTGCTTCCGCCCAGTTCGAGATATGGAGGGTCTTCAAGTTTGAATATAACTAAGGTTCTCTCTTCTTCTATCTACGTCCCACTCTCTTCCTAAAGGAACTGTCAACTGAAATTCTCAACATAGTAGATTCACCTGTTATAATACTTTCTTTATCTTTCAGTAATCAAAATACACAGAAGGTCATCTGCTCAAACAAGCTAACCACTAAGTTAATGAATCTCTTTTACTTCTCTCCAATTCCAGGCTTCCCTTTTCTCCAACAGGCGTTTGTGAATTTCTGCACGGCAATCACATTCTCCCTTTCCCTTCTGAAATACAACAACCATCTGCCACAAACCATTATTCTTAAAGGCTTAAAATTGTCCCAAAACATAGTTCAACATTAAAATTGGAATATTATCTTACCAATCATTCTCAGCCAACTTGTCCCCTCTCCACTAAATCCTCATTCACTAAGACGGAGATATATGAATTTCCTTGGAAAAGTAAATCTCCTCATTGTCGCATCTTAAAGCAATATGATACCAATATTAAGGTAGTGGGAACAGGAATAAAGCAAACCGATCCTTTATTAGCAAAGAATTTTGATTTAACTAATCCGATAAGACAATTAACATGTGAATAAGGATTTACATAATGGCAATAGCTAAAGGTCAGCAGTAGACAAGACAATTGCAACCGAAAGTGTGTTTGCTAAGAAAACAGACGTACAATACAACTGATCAAAGTGATGTATTAACGTCAAGACAACAGATAACTGAATGAAGGACAAGATGAACACAAGCAATAACTATACATCAGTGCAAACTGGAAACTAAAAGAAAAGGAGTCCGATCATAAAGAACGGGAAGAAGAAGGTAGAAAGTAACACTATAAACTCAAAAATCGAACCAAATACATTCAATATATTAGATTTTCTTCATCGGAATATCATTACATTAAAACCTAATTTCAAAAACTTGAAGAAAGGAAAGTCGTTCCCCTGAAATAGGCCAGGCGTAAAAACAAAAAAAAAAAAAAAAAAAAAAAAAAAAAANTCTCTTAAGGTAATGTGTCGCACATGCACTGAACATTCGCATAAAACTAGCCCCACATAAAAAAAAAAAAAAAAAAAAAAAAAAAAAAAAAAAAAACCTCATCATTCGTAGCTTAAAAATTCTGCAAAATCATGAGAGATGGAGAGAGAGAGACCTGAGGTTGATAGAGCTTGAGAAATTTAGTAATCAAGATCGGAATATCGCCGCGAGGAGCATGGAGAGGTATCTCGAGGAACTTGCAGAGTTGAGGTTTCAGTTGTATTTTTTGGCTTAGAAGACGAGCACCGACACTAATCTTGGCAGGAGCCATGGATTTTCGAGATTTTTTTACCAGTCACCAGCTTTGATCGTGATCAGACCTTTGAATCTCAAGCTTCTTGTTAAACATTTCTCATTTTCGCCGGCGGTGTCTGCCATGGCTTCCTCTGCAATTCCCTACTTTAACCAGTTGGTTAATGGGCCTGGTTTTGGAGTTAACCTTTGGTTAAAATCTTATTTTATTTTGAGTTTTAGCTATAAATTAAAAATAAATAAATAAATAAAACCATCTAGAGTTATTCATTTTATTTATTTATTTGACAAATTCATTTAATTTAAGTCTAATACAAATTAAATTTCCAAAATTGAAAAAAAAAAACTAATCTTATTTAATAATTGTTTTATTTCTTATATTTTAAACATAAGAATGATATATTTGAAAATTACATTTAAACTCAATTTAACCATTGAAATTTCTTTCGAATTAAATCTTGAAATTGGTGTAAATTAAAAATTTTAAATATTATTATTAAAAATATAGTTTTAGAATCATTTTTAATTCGAGCTTTACTGAGGGATAAGAAACTTATTTTAAAAAATAAATAAATTGAAATCAAAATCAAGTTAAAAAGAAAAATACAATTTAAAGGAAAATGAAATTGAGAGCATATGATTAACGCATTGTCGTTTGGAAAAAATGTTGAGAGCCCAAGAGAAGGCCAAGTCAAACGACATGTCGGTCTAGAATCTCATGCTTACGTGAGAATGATTATGTGCTGTAGCCGTGCTTTTTAAGCTAAATATAATAATAATTATTATTTATATTCATAGAAACTTAGATATACTTTTTTTTCAATTATCAATTATTCCTTTTCAAACCACTTGCAATAATTGGAAACAATGCCTTTCTCTTATAAAATATTATAGGGACAAATCCGTAATTTGAAAATTATATTTTCGTCGACTTTAATATCAACACGAGACAAATCGACACCTAATAATAATAATTAAGAAATTTGAATTAGTTTAAAATATATAATTGAATCATAACATTTTGTACATGTGGGTGACACGAACAAACGAACCATTTGAATGCATGGTCTACTTAGTCATGGTCAGCTTGTGTTACATTTTTGTGTTTGATCAAACCCAATTTGTTCGGTATGGAATCAATTGTGCTCTTCTCCGCTCCCAAGACTTATTAGCGTATATTTTCAGAAATTAAATAATTATATGATTTGTATAATATCAAAAGTAGTATTTTATGCTCCAATAAAAAATCTTACTGATCTCATATATTACGACCAAATAAATATTTAAATAATTAATATACATTGATATTAAAAAGAAAATAGACGAAACTCACCAAACAACCCATTAAACCCATGTTGTTTCTCAATTCAAAAGAGGAAATAAATGAGTCAAATTTGTGAGAATAGGTATTGTTTTAAACGTTAACCCTAATAGTAGGGAGGATAAAAAACAATTATAATTTGGTTGAAAAATAAAAACAATTACTCCAATCTAACCCAATCATAAATTTTTAATTTATTATTTTAAATAAAAAAAAATTAGTTCTAAAAATATTTATTTATTAATATTGAGTTTTCAAATAGTTAAAAATTATTTTTAAAAATGGTTGAATAATAAATAATAAATAATAAAAAATAATTATGAAATTAAATAATATATATATATATATATATATATATATATATATATATATTATGCTGACGTGTCATTCCACTCTCTCTCTCTCTATTGGTAGACATGGCTTGGTGCCTATACCACCATTTCCCATATCTCTTTTCTTTTTTTTTTTTCTTTTTTTCATGTAAAATATGTCACCATTATTATTCCCAAATTCCCCATTTATTCCCAAAACCATATTAATCTATACTTTTTACCTAATATATATTCTTTTACTTTTAACTTTTAATAGCATACGTTACACTTTTACCATGTTTTGTTCGTAACAAATTAAAGATTCAATAAAATGACAAAATTAACGAAATTAACGAAATTAACGAACACAAATTAAGGTAGGTTTTAATTTTATAAAACAAGTAAATTTAGATAGAATTAAATAATTAAATAATTAAAAGATAGATAAAATAAAAAAATAAAATGCTTTCCTCAATTTAAGATTTTCTAAGTAGGTAGGTTGTTTATTTTTTAATAATTAAATTTTTAAGAATACACGTCAAAAAAAAGTTTTATACAAGTTATCATCCCTCATTTTATGATATACTTATAAATTCTTTTAATATCACACAATTGCATTTAAATATATAAACATCTAACTTTGAATAAATTCTCTTATCTTATATCGTCATCTGTCCATTACCCCAAAACTCCTTTACAACTTGATTATTTTTAAAATATCCATATAAATACAAAACTATATATTAAACTTTTTTCCTATAAAAAGTAAATTATGACATAGTTGAAGATAATGTAAATAAAATGAGATGCAAAAGATCTCCGTCAAAGTTTAAGTGGTCCTCCACTTCACTATATATATATATTATGTAACTCCAAACAAATTTCAGCAAAAAAGACTGTCAATAAACACATATGTATCTTCTCTATTTACTTTGTTCTTCGCTCCCTAATTATGAGACCCATCACAAAAACGACGGATGAACTGTCTTCATAGTTGAATGCAGATCGAATAAATTGACTGATTTTTTTTTTTTCTTTTTGTCCATTATTACTTTTTTTTTTTTTCTTTTTGTCCATTATTTGTTAGTAAACATTTTATTCCTACATAAAAATTAAAAAATATAAAAAATTGATTATTTTTTATTTCATATATGATTGGATGGAGGGGTCAACGAGTCAATTAAGGTTGTTAAGCTTTAAAATAAAATGATTAGATACGGAAAGCTCTCAAAGAGATTTGAGACCACAAATAACAAAGTCCTTAATGAGGGGGAATTCCATCATTATCTTCCATATTTATAAAAAATAATTTTTTTTAAATTAAAAAATATATTATTATTATAATTAGTGGGTAGGGCCCAATTAGACCTGGCCCACCACCAAATGATTGGGCCATTGGGAGTACTGAGAAAATGGCTGCATCCGTATCGTGGCAAAATAATGATGAAATTCCAAATCCACCCTCGAATGCATGACACGTGTCGAAATCCTAACTCAACTCTCGAACTGACTAAACGACAAAGCGCAATTACTACAAAAAAGACGATCTCACCCTCCCCACCACTTAGAAATGATTGTGACCGTCGGATTGGAAAAGAAAAATCCAAATATTAAAATAATAAAAATAACAAAGATATTCTTATTGTGTTAGATTTAGATAAAGATATGCGCATGATATAAATAGTACTGTGGGCTTGGCCCACGACACTTTATAATAAATAAATTATTAGTTAATTAATTAATATAATATATATTATATTATATTAGCATGAAATGAAATGAGATCGTACGGCTCACAATTCCTCTGTTTGGCCCCCACCAATTTTTGATTTTGTTCCCACAAATATATTATTCTCCTTTTTTTTTCTTCTATTATTTTTTTTTAATTTTTTTTATAATATTTTATTTTAGACTGAATTAGAATTATCAAATTTTTTAATACGAGAAAAAAAAAATTATATTTTAGCGATATAAATAGAGGTAAAATTTGGTGATATGATGACCAATTTGTTTAATTCAAATATACCGAACATAACCGACAATGTCTATTAAACAATATCACGTATATTTTATATACGCTAAAAGAAAGGAATTTTATTTTTAAAATTAAAAAAATAATTAGAATTTGTTTGGGTCACTCAGTTTGAAAAAGAGAATATATAGATAGCTTAAGAGGAAAATAGGGAAAAAGTGTGGAATTTAAAATATTTGCAAGTTGCATAGCTAATAGAAAAGTCAATTCAATATAATAATTAACTTTTTTTTTCTAATTTTAATTTTAATTAAAAAATAATTTTATTATTGTGACCCCATTTGCCCTTCCATCCACTGGACTACTCTGCAAAAAGGGCAGAAATATTCATTATTTTTTTATAGACAAAAATCAGAATCAGATTTATTTATTTATTTTAATTTTGTATTTTGTATTTAAGGGGAGAGAATATTAAGAGTATAATAGCCATAAAATGGAGGGGGGAAATAGTCATATTTGGAATAATTGAGGGATATGAATGTTGAACACTACAGTAGTTTAAAGCATGTGTAGCTATTTGGAAGAGAATAAAAGAATTTCTTTTAGTTTTTTTTCTCGGGTCGGTTAGTGGTTGGAATAGATCAATTTTTTAAACACATTTAAAATTTTCGGTTGATTGGGTTAGTGAAATGAGTAACCCGAGTAGAATTTACAACTAAACTTAACTCTTTATTTTTAAGGTGGGTCGGGTTGTAAGGGTGCATCACCAACTTCAAATATTCTTAATTTAAATGTATGATAAGGTATAGTTGGGTTGTAACCTTATTTTTTGGTTTGTCACGTTGAACTGACAAAAAAATGTTAACTAATAACATACCAAAACGTTCAATTTCCAAAAATTCAACCCAACCCAAAAATATAACCTAACCCTTTTAAGATTTGGGTTAGATAGTTTGAGAGGGTTTCGATCCTTAAGAAAAATTGGAGAATTATGCTATCGTTACTTAAAACACTATTTCCATCGTATAATTATCTTTTTGTGTGTATATATATATATATATATTTTCGAAGAATGGTTTATTTAACAAATTTTAAAAT